TTCTTCCAATTCAGGTACATGGCCATATAATTTGAATATTAAAGAACAGGTCATTCTTGGAAATTATTTGTGACAAGCAAGAAATCTAAAATTAAAAAATAAAAAACAGCACACGTGGAAGTTTTGGAAACTTTGTAAAAAATACAAACTCTTTCAAAGAGTGAAAACTTACTAGATTCTGTTTATTTTACCTTGAAGGAATGTTTTTATCAAAAGTTATCAAAGAATGAAAAAAATGCAAATGGATGCAAAGACTCGCATTTATCACATGTTCCTAGAAATGATAAAGAGAATGAAAAAGCACATCAGCAAAATGTTAAATATTCAAAATTGAAATTGGATTTGAAAAGTATATATGCAACTGTTGGTGCTGTGGAATAGAGACTATACTTAGAGGGTAAAATATAAAACCAAATAATTAACACAATAGCAGATGCATTACATGAGATTATTTGAATAAGGCAAGATATGCTAAGTATTGCTCAATTGTTTTAGTTATAACCTTCATAGAACCCATGTAAAACAGATAACAATTACTGTTAGATTTGTGGATTTCTAAAATCCACTCTTTCTGTATATGAACATAGATTTTGCTCAGCAAATGACACAACTAGAGAATTATCAGATCTACATATCTAGTGGGCTACTTGTAAACACAGAACAGAAACCAAAATCATGTCAAGGGAAGAGATCTTTGTGATTTGTGATGATTCTCTCCATGATGAGAGCATGTTGGCCAAAGTAAAGCTTCCCTGAAGGCTGAATTCAAAGTAAATGCCAAAAAAGCTTCTGACAGCAGCGTAGAAATTGTGACAGTGAAAAAAAATACTGTTACCTGACTAAAGTTTGAAATGCTACAGTTTTTTTTTTTTGCCGTACGCGGGCCTCTTGCTGCTGTGGCCTCTCCCGTTGTGGAGCACAGGCTCCGGACGCACAGGCTCCGGACGCACAGACTCTGGACGCACAGGCTCAGTGGCCATGGCTCAGCCACTCCGCAGCATGTGGGACCTTCCCGGACAGGGGCACGAACCCGTGAACCCGTGTCCGCTGCATCGGCAGGCGTTCTCTCAACCACTACGCCACCAGGGAAGCCCTGAAATGCTATAGTTTTGAGGTGAAGATGTTACGGCAAATTGAAAATGATCTATCCTTAAGAAAAAAAACATAACTTCTGGTTCATAGATTGATATTTGGAAAAAATTTGGTTCAAATAATAATTTCAGCAGTAATAATGATATTATTATTAATATACTACTACTACTGTTATTAATAGCTTGGAAGTCAGAGATATGATAGTGTCACAATTTTGTAAATGAAAAGCCAAATGGATTTTGACAGGAAGATTCTCAAAAAGTAATTCTAGAGAATTCCATATCCCTGTTGTACGTTCTTCAAACTTAATGGTGAAAAACACAGCAAAAATCTTTTTTTATACATTTGAAATTTTCATATCATCTAAGAACTATACATCTACCTTTTAGTTCATTGAAACATGGAAAGGTATTAAAATATTAATTTTGAAATCATTATAAAAATAAACGATGTGAAAGTCCAGTTGAGGTCATCCTGTCACTAAAACTCAATTAGAGGCAATAAACGATGCTCTTTTATAAATTATTGATATTTTTAAAGCTAAATTTTCTGGATAAAGGTTAGAATGCTAGCCAAAGATATACTTTTGAAAATACCTATGTTTAAATGTATCTTCTCAGCACTATTTTGGTATGCCTCTTTTGGTGTGGACATTTTATATTTTAAACCATTTTTATTGAAAATATAACATACCTATAGAGAACGATATAAAACAAGTATAGAACTTATGAAGTATTACGAGGCCAACATTCTTATGACTAGCACCTAGGTCAATAAATAGAACTGTGCCCTCTATTCCCATCATTCTTTGAACTCTTTTTAAAAATTTGTTGGCACCTCAAGACATTCTAGGCTTGTCCTGTACTTTTCCTGCCCCATCCCCGGAATTAGTTATTTCTCCAAAGAGCTGTGGTTCATTTGATTGGAAAAAAGGGTATTTACAGACCAAGATCTGGGCGGCAGTTGGGCTCATCACTACTGGGTATCATTGCTTCTATGCTTTTGTAGATAAGATAATCTTTAAAAAACAGTTTTAAAGTACAGAAAGCATATAATGGCCTTTTCAAATTTTAGAGACATATGTAATTTGAAGAATTTTGATGATGAACAACCATAACTATGTAAAAATTAAAATAGAGACTAATGATGAATAATATTAAATGGGTTATAATATATGAGGAACTGATATTACATCCTTCTCCCCCTAAATTTTAATAAAGCCCCTGCCCCCACTGAAGTTTTGCCTGTATTTGTAGTAGTAGTTACCAGGCATTTTTCCATATACTTTTTAGCCCTTTGGGGCCTTTTTTTTTTTTTTTAAGTATTTATTTATTTATTGGCTGCGCCGGGTCTTCGTTGTGGCACGCGGGAACTTTGTTGCTGCGTGCGAGATCTTCTTTGCGGCATGTGGGATCTTTAGTTGCGGCATGCGGGATCTAGTTCCCTGACCAGGGATTGAACTTGGGCCCCCTGCATTGGGAGCGCAGGGTCTTAACCACTGGACCACCAGGGAATTCCCAGGAGCTTTTTGAATATTGGCTGGTAGTGGAGGATGTAGTCTGAAAATTAAAATGTGTTAACAACTATTTAATGTCCTCAATGTCACTGAACATATGTCTCAGGGTCATTTCTACAGAAAACAGGTTATTGGAGTAAATAAACATTGAAACCATAATAAAAATGTTATTTTATCCAATCAGGATGTGAATTATTTTTGTTACAAATCATTAAATCCATTAGTGACTTTGGAATGTGATATCGAGTTTTTTATTGTGATTGAGCTTTGAATTTTCTTATTTTATGTCAAAAATTTGATATATTTAATGAACAAAATAATTTCCATTGAGTTCTATTTAATTTTCTGAATAGTTTCTGTTCTTACACGTGGATACCATGTCTTACCTTTCTAAAAATATTAATTTTTGAAGATTTATTTTGCTCTTTGCATTCGTTAGTTTTAGCTTCCAACTTTTTAGTTAAAGGATTTCCTCAAATGTTTGGTGGTCTTTGCTTATTATTTCATATCTGAGTAAGGCTGATCAGAAACAAGTGTTTGGAAGGCCTTATTAATTGGTAGGTTTCACTGAAGAGCCGGGGGAGGTCAGTGACTTGCCATTTATTTGGTTGCTGCCTAAATGCCATCATATCCAGGTCTTTCTCTTATGCCTGTTGGCTTCCCGAGAGACAAACGGTCCAGTTTTTTGCCTGAGGCATGTATATGCTTGGCTGCTTCAGATTTAGGAGAAAAGTGAGAATTAGAGTTGAGAACCTCATTGTTCTGTATATACCCTTAAAAATTAAAATAATTTAAAAAATTGTGGTAAAGTACACATAAAATTTGCCATTTAAACCAGTTTAAAGTGTATAGTTCAGTGGCATTAAGTATATTCACATCCTTGTGCAACCAACCTCCAGAACTCTTTTCATCTTACAAAACTGAAACTCTCTACCCCTAAACAGCAATTCCCCATTTCCCCTCCCCCCAGCCCCTGGCAACCACCGTTTTACTTTCCATCTCTATAAATCTGACTACTTTAGGTACCTTATATAAGTGGAATCAGATGGTATTTGTCTTTTTGTGACTGTCTTATCTCATTTAGCCTCATGTCTTCAAGGTTCATCTACGTTGTAGCATTGTCAGAATTTCCTTCCTTCTTAAGGATGAATAATATTCCATTGTATGCATATACCGCATTTTGTTTATCTACCATTTGTGGATGGACACTTGGCTTGCTTCCACCTTTTGGCTATTGTGAATAATGCTGCTATGAACATGGGAATGCAGGTCTCTTCCAGACCGTGCTTTCAATTCTTTAGTGTGTATATCCAGAAGTAGAATTGCTAGATCTTGTGGTAGTTCTATTTTTAACTTTTAGTGGATGTATATATACTTTTATATAACCTCTCCATATTGAGCTTTACTCTCTACCACATCTAGTGACTCTTGAGTGTGGAGATTTTCCAGTTCACCTGCTCCCCCCATTCCCTCACCCCGCATCCTCTGTTTAGGGAATGGGCTCGTGGTTGGGGCATTCATCTGGCTTTGTGGGGTTGGAAGGGGAATTTGAGGGTCCAAATACTCTGCATGGGAACTTTGAACTTAATTTCCCTGTTTTCCTTGCCACAACTCTGCCCTCACCTCTCTCTAGTGTATATTTGTGCTCTAGGTAAATGTACCAGAAAAACCGATTCACTGAAAGCCAATTCACTTAAACGGCCAACTTGCAAATAACTTTTCTTTTAATTCTTTATTTTTACTTATTTTGTCTTCCTGATAGCCTTTTAAGGCAATTCAATTTGACTCTGCTCCAGTTCCCTACTGCTGCAGCTACAGTCTGACGGGCTAGAAAAAGGGGAAAACACAGAAGGACATAAGAAGAATACAGAATATTCATTTTTATTCCTACGGAGTTACCCTGCAGTGGACAGAAATCAGAAGTCGTTAACTAGCTGTTTGATTTTGGGCCAAACCATTCGGCTCCCTGGGCTGAAACATGCAAAACGAGGATCACAATTATAATTCACAGATGGGTGTGTGTGTGTATATGTGTGTGTGGCGGGGGGTGGGGCGGTGTGTGTCTGTGTGTGTGGCGGGGGGTGGAGGGGCGCTTAGTGGTGTTAGCGCCCGGTTCGCGAAGGAAAACCCAGAGCAAATTTACGGCCTTTAAGTCTTAAGTTGTACGACCTCACCATAGTAACAGCAACCAGCCCGCATGCGTCTATTTAAAGCGCCGGCGTGCTTTATGAACCACTCAGCCCCGCCCTCTTCCTCAGATTGCCCGGTTTCCGTTTCCCCCGAGCCTGCTCCGCTCCGCTCTGTGGATTCCGAGTCGCCAATCACCGCCCACTTTTTTCTAGCTGTGAACACCGCGCATGCCCACGTTTCGAAAGCCCGGGGGCGGACTTCTGGTTTCGCGTACGCGCAGTCGTCCTCTTTCCCCACGCTGGTTCCTCGTCGTCTTAGTGCCGTACGTCCTCCTGGCCTGATCTCGTATTTGGGCACCGTGTGCGCTGTCGCCACCGCCACGATGGGCAAAACTTCCGCCTCTCAGGGTCCAGGAGCTCGGCCCGACCCGGTGCGGAGCTTCAATCGTTGGAAGAAGAAACACAGCCACAAGCAGAGCCAAAAAAAACAGTTGAGGAAGCAGCTGAAGAAGCCCGAGTGGCAGGTCGAGCGCGAGGTTATCAGCCGCCTCATGCAGAACTTTGAGAAGGTGAGGCCGGCGCCGGGGAGGGGGCGCGGGCCGGCTGCGGGGCTACATGTCCCTGCCGCGCTGGGCTGCACAGACGAGGGGGCCGACCTGTCACTGGTACCCTGCCTGGGGAGCAAGCCGTTAGTTCCGGAGAAGGGAGTGGGGTGAGAGGTGCCAGCCGGGGCCCTGTTGAGGCCACAGGTGGGCTGCTGGGTGCCACAACCCAGGCCTCCTGACCGTCCAGGCTGCTCTTCTGCTCACCACACTTGTCTTGATAAAATGATGGAAATGCAGTGGTACTTAAGCATAGGGAGATTAATTGCTATAATAGGTATAGAAATATTCATAAAAATAATACTAACAACAGTAATGGTAAGTAATGACACATTTTAAGCCACTCACCATGTGCTTCCCATTAATCATTTGACTTGATCTGAGGCATTGGGTCTTATTTCCATTTTACAGATGAGAACATTGAGGCTCCAAGAGGGTAAGAAACTTGTCTGGAACCTAGACTCAAGTCTTTCTGATTCCAAAGCCTTTGCTTTTAATCGTTAAGCTAGTCTTGCATCTCTCATCACCATCCTTCCTATGCTTATTTTTTCTACTTGTTTCATGTCCCCATCCAAGAATTGCTATAGAAAAGCTGGACTCTTGGTCTGTTTCTGGTACCTGCCATCCCACAATGTAGCTGATGTTCCCAGATGAATGTAGTAGTTATCATTTTCTTTTATTTTTTTTAATTTTTTATTTTTGCGTTATGCGGGCCTCTCACTGTTGAGGCCTCTCCCATTGCGGAGCACAGGCTCCGGACGCGCAGGCTCAGCGGCCATGGCTCACGGGCCTAGCCGCTCCGCGGCATGTGGGATCTTCCCGGACTGGGGCACGAACCCGTGTCCCCTGCATCGGCAGGTGGACTCTCTGCGCCACCAGGGAAGCCCCTGTAGTTATCACTTTGACTTCTAGATCTCTTCCCAGCTCACGCTTCTTGGGGCTGCCACTACCCCTTGTTTTCCTTCCTCCTAAATTCCACGTCTGTTGGCCTTCACCCACCTCATGTAGCCTTTCAGTGATTGCCCCCTTCTAGTGCAGTGTAATCGGGGATTTAACATATGGAATATATCTGGAATTAAAGTCATCACGTGTCACGCTGGTATAGCTTTTCTTTAAACAACAATTAGATCAAAAGTAAGGTTAGATGGAGCTTAGAGTTTGTTTTGGGCTTTTAAGTTAAGATGATGATGATTTGATTCTGGCTTTTGGTTGCCCGATGAGTGACTTTGGGCAAGTTACTTTGCTTCTCTTGTCTTTAAAAGGCATAATAATATCTACCTTATAAGTTATGGGCAGTTAGTAAGAATGTATGTAAAGTATTCTGCACAATGCCTGACACATAAATATTCCATATATTACCTGTTACATTACTACTGCTGCTGTATACACAGCACCTCAAGAAGCCACTGTAAGGTAAATTACTGTCAGATTGCATTTTGGGCCCTTCTTCATCTGACTGGAATTGCTTCAGGAGGAGAGCCTCACCCCTTGCTTCTTCTCACTCTGTTCTCTTCTCTTGTGTAATCTGAAGGTTTACTCTTGTGACTCTTCCTTCTTGGCATTCTACCCAGAGCTCTTCTGAGTTCATATCCTTTTTTTTTTTATGACTGTGCTGGATGTCTTTATTTGTGTCATAGGATACTTTAAATGCAGATCTAAAACTGAGTTCATTATCTTTTTCTTCTAAATTCACAGTCCTGTGTGTTATTTCCGTATTGCCACCATGGCAAATTACCACAAATTTGTTGTCTAAAAACAACAGAGATTTATTTTCTTACAGTTCTGGAAGCCAGAAGTCTGAAATCAGTTTCACTGGGCTGAAATCAAGGTGTCAGTGGGGACACACTCCCTCTAGAGGCTCTAGGAGAAATTTTGTTTCTTGCTGCTTCTAGCTTCTGGTGGATGTATTCATTGGCCTGTGGCTGCATTACTCCAGTCTCTGCCTCCATGGACACACTGCCTTCTCCTGTTCTATGTCAAATCTACCTGTATCCTTTTTTTGTAAGGGTACTTTTGATCACATTTAGGGTTTACTCAAATAATTGAGGATAATCTCCCCATCTCAAGATCATTAGTTACTGTGCAAAGTCTCTTTTGTCATGTAAGATAATATCCACAGTTCTGGAGATTAGGATATGGGCATATTTGGGGACCATTATTTAGGCTGCCCCATCCTAGCCCCACCACTTAAGCAGACTGATGAGCTAGAAACCTAGGAGTAATCCTAGAGGCTTCCGTCTTACCACTCTTACATTCAGTTAGTCACAGTGGTGATTAACTCTGCTTCTTAAATTTCTCAAATGCTTCTCCATCCCCAGTGCCATGCCTTAGTTCAGGCTCCATCATCTCTTGCCTGGGTTACTACAGTAGCTATTGCTTGTAACATGGGTCAGCAGACTTTTCCTGTAAAGGACAGGACAGTAAATGGTTTTAGCTTTGCAGGTTGTAAGGGTGGAACTACTCAACTCTGCCATTGTAACACAAAAGCTTGCCATGGAAATACTTAAATGGGCATAGCAAAACTTCAGTTACTAAAACAGGTGGTGGGATTTGTCCCTTAGGCCTTACTGCCTTCTGATCTGTCCTCCATATTTGCTAGAATGATTATTTCCAAGATGAGATCCAATTGTTTTACTCGTGATTAAAACCCTTCCTTGGCTCACAGTTATTTTCAGGAAAGTGGTCAAACACTTCAATGTGTCAGCGTGTTCTAGTCCAGTGAAAGAGTAAGCTATTTGTGGTCAGGCAGACCTGGTTTAAATCTCACTCAGTTCAGGTGTTGACTCGCCAAATTTCTTTATGTCCCTGTGTCTCAGTTTCTTTATTCAACAGAGATTATTAACCACCCAGAGTGTTGTAAGGCTAAAATGAGGTGATGTATATAAACCAAGTGGTATGTGGTAGGCACACATGAAAGAACAACCTGCACTTTTGTGAATTGGCCATGCTCCTTGATGCTTCTTGTCCTGGTACTTGATGTTTCCACTGCTTGCAGTGAGCAGTCCCATTTCCCCAACCCTAGGGACACCTACTCATCCTCTAAGATTTACCTCCAACTTCTCTTCCTGACCTCCCCAGGTAGGGTTAGGGCTGCTGTGTGTCTGTAGCATTTTGTATATGCCTTTATTATAGCAGTCATCAGCAGGCTGTGATGACTGGCTTTAACTTCTTTGTCAACTCTACCACTAGGTCATTGATGATATACCTGCTTTGCTCTCCCCAAAGATGGGTCCCACAGTGCTTGTCCTTGAGAAGACCTTTAGTGTTTAGATGTTTGGTGCACACTGACCTTTTCCAGGTGGCTTTATTCTGCTCGGTAACGTGGGTCCGTTCTTTTTGGTCTCTTGTTTTAATAATAATTATTAACATTTATCAAGCTTTTATACATGTTGATTTGCCATATTCTCACAACAAACAACCCTATGAGATAGTCCCCATTATATAAGTGAGGAAACTTTAAGACACAGCAAGGCTAAATAATTTGCACTACATTAAACAGGAAGTGAAAATGCTATTGATAGTAAGGGGAAAAGTTCTAATCCAGCAGGTATAGGTCTGATGCCAGGGCTCCAGACCACCATGCTTTACTGTGTTGCACAAATGTTTGAATCCCAGTCTCTTCACTAAGTTGAAGGAACATTTTTTTTCCTGCTAAGTATTGTTCTGTTTTTTTTTTGTAAGTTTTAGAAATATTTTCTTAAATAAATGCAGTATGGAATCAGTTGCCATGGCTAGCAATACTAGAATACAATCAGAGAAGATTGTATGTAAAAAGGGGCAGACCCTACCATATGGCTCTCAGATGGTAGAATTTGTGCATAGAAGTTTTATTACAGTGGACAGTACACAGGTGGTGGTCAGTAGCCTCACTGGTGAAATACTGAACAATTTGATTCAGAGACATTTTGGAACATTTTGACAGGTTGTTGTTGAGGCTTAGGTAAAAATAGGTGGAAAAAAAATACCTGTCTGTATCTCAAGGGAGGTGGGATGGGGTTGATACATTTTGACAGATGTAATGCTAGTAAATATGTGCAGTGCTCTGGAGTTAGAGGATGGTGTAATCAGGGGAAAAAGGTTGAGTTATTCTGTGCAGAGCCCTTTCTGGCCAGATGACTTAGAGAAAGGTTTTTCCTCTGGGCACGCTACCCTTCTTCCTGGTGGTTGCAGCCTCAGGCCTGGCTGGTGGAGCTGAAAGTGGGCTGGATTTCAGCTCCCACACCTCAGCCTTACCAGATGCCTTTGGGTAGGACATGAACTGTACAGCAGTTTGTGGTAGCCATGAGTGGAGCCAGTTCTTGAATGATGTGTTCTCCAGGTGGAAAAGATTGGCAAGGACATTGTAGGTGGAGGGAGCAACAAGAGGAGATACAAAAAGATGTGAAAATACATGGTGTTCTTTGAGGGGGACATACTCCTTGGAGTGTGATATGTGTTCCAAAATTGGCTTCAGATGAGGTTGAAGAAGAGGATTGAAAGTAGACTGAATGGCTTTGGAGGCTGTAGTAGGTAGAATAATGACCTCCTAAAGACATCAGCATCCTAATCCTCAGACCTGTGGATAAGTTACATGGCAAGGGGTAATTCAGGTTGCTAATCAGCTGACTTTAAAATATGTTGGTTGATCTGGATTATCCAAGTGGACCCAGTGTAATCATCCAAGGGCCCTTAAGTGTGGAGGAGGGAGGCAGAAGAGTCAGTGTCAGAGCACTGTGAAGTGAGAGACTTGACTGTCCATGCTGGCTGGCTTTGAAGATGGGAGGGGGCCATAAGCCAAGGAATGTGGGCAGCCTCTAGAAGCTGGAAAAAGCAAGGAAATGGATTCTCTCCTAAAGTTACCCAAAAGAATGCAGCCCTGCCAACTCCTTGATTTTAGTTGAGTAAGACTGGTTTTGGACTTCTGACTTCCAGAATTGTAAGTAATAAATTTATATTGGTTTAAGCCACTGTTCTTGGTAATTTGTTACAGCAACAGTAGGAAACTTATATAGAGGCTGTCTTTAAAAGCTTTATCTAGAAGCAATGGTGAGTTTCAGGGGACAATTAGAGAATATATCCAAACTGTAAAGGGTCTGGAGGCTAGACTGTTGGTATAGTCTAGATCTTGGGTCCTCTGAGAGGCAGATGCCAAGATGGGATTAAGTGAATTGGAATTTATTGGGGGAAAGTGTCTGTAAAGGTAAAGGAGAGGGAACAGGAATAGGGAGGGAAAGGAAAGAGGACAGGAGGAGGGGGTAGGAGGCGCGTAGGCTGCAACACTGTTTTCAGAAAGCTGACAGGATGTCCTCAAACCAAAGTTGCGCATGGAGGAATCCCCTGTCCTGCGGGAATGGGTACTGCTGTTGTGCTTGGTCATTGACTGGGTGCAGGCCAGGCAGGCATGGCTTTTTCAGTGGTGGCTCTAGAGCGGTGACAGCTGGCATTTATCAGTCAGCTCTCTTCCCGAAGTGGGAACTCTGGGTGGCTTATTTCTAAGGCCACTGTGTAGGGTGTGTGTTCTAGAGGGGCTGATGGAGAGCTGGGGATTGAAGCTTATGGAGAAATGTTGAACTATTTGTTTAGTAATGGTTTTCACTTGCTGAATGACTCAAGCTCTCCTCACCTAGGATTCATTTAGATTTTTTATTGTAATCAGCTATGCTATATAGGAACTCTGCTTTCTAATCTGATTTTGTTTTTTCCTTAATCAGAATTTGGTCTGGTGTAATTTGAAGTAGATTGCTTTTCTTCTCTTGATTGCAATAGGTGGAGCATTCTAGGAAGTTTTAAATACTTTTTCCTCCCTGCTTCGGGATGTAAAAGCATCATTCACATTTGTGAAAAAAAGACAGTTGGAAGAAGTATAAGAGAGTGGTTAAGTAATATCCACCCTGTTCTCCTTTCTTCTGCCCCCTCTAACTTTTCCACCAATGTTGGGATGTTCTTAATAAGTACCATCACTGAAAGATCTGTTCTTTGATTTCAGAAGAATGATGATACAGATTTTTAGAGGTTTTGATTGATAGAGATGTTATGATTTTTCTAAGAGTGATTTTTTTCTAAGAAAAGAAAAGGATGAAGGGAAGGGGAAAGAGTTTTATTTTTTTTGTAGGAACCATAGCCATCTTCTGCTGTGGCTTCCTAGTGTTCCTTGGACTATAATTGACAGTCTTCTAGAACATGGTTGGCAGAATTTTTCTGTGAATATTAAGATAGTGAATATTAAGTTTCGTGGGCCAGATGGTCTCTGGCACAACTACATAGACAATATGTAAATGAATGGTTGTAGTTGTGCTCCAGTAAAACTGTATTTACAAAAACAGGGAAGAAAAGATTGGGCCTGTGGGCCATAGTCTGCTGACCCTTGTTCTAGACATCAGTGGAGTAAAAAATGTCCTTTTTGTTTCTTTGGTGACCTCTTTCTAAGCGTATAGTGTGCAGTTTTATGTTGTAATGGTTGGTAGAGTACTGGAATAGTTTGTTTCTTCCAGACTTTCCCTTTAGGAGGTTGATAGACTTTAGAAAGATATGCAGTCCTTTGTCTGAGTAGCCCACTTTGCCTGTGGGCTGTATCTATGATGGGGATTAAAGAGTGTGTTGCCCGTCTAGCTCCTGTAAGCATTCTACTTGCTGTGAAAACAGATTTTTAGCTGATAATACCACAAGTGCAGGGTGGACTGCACCTGATTTTAGTGTCCGGTTTGGGAGATTACTTACCTCCTGATTTAGGTTCCTTGATAGGACAGGATATTATTTGAATAAAATTTTCTCCTTCTACTGTTTGTACACTGATTCTGCCTCCTCTCCAGTGTTATCTGGAATGAGTTGTAGGGATTAAGGCAATGTTTTAATAATTATGTTTTCATCATTTGAGGCCAGAGAATAACCCTGTCTGGACTACATTAAGAATCTGTAGACTAAAATGAAATACAAGCTGTCATCCCTTTACTGCCTGGAGTGTAATTTTAATAAATGAACCTTAAAAATGCAGCTTTCCCCTTTTGTGAATCATGAATAATTTGGCAGCACATTCCCAGATCTGAGTAGTTCCTACTTTCAGCGTCTATGATAAAATAATTCTCCTGAGCATCTGAAATGAAATTCAGAAAATTGGGTTTATGCTAATGAAGAACATCAGTGATGAACATTTAGGTAATGTAAAGTTAAAGGGCAAAATGTTACTTTTTGTGACTTCAGATCATGACAGAGACACTTTCCCTGGTTATTGTTAAATAATACCCCTCCTCCAGTGTACCCCCAAACGAGTAGTTGTCAGGTTGCGTTTGAAAGGTTTGTGCTAGCAAGATATAGTTCTGCACCTAACTTGAAGTTAGTCTCCAAAGTGTGTAAAGAGAAGTTTTCTCATCGTGGTCTGTGGTTTATAGTCATTTTGCCCTTGACTTCCTAGACTGATATTCTTTGAAGGATGGGATGAAGGGAAATTTTCTTCCTAAAATTGATGTGATGACTTATTGTATTGTTAACATTTTAGAAGTGTTTGAAGATATTGAAGGTAGGGGTGTGTGTGTGTGTGTGTGTGTTGAGTGAATGAAGTTTCTTTTTTTAACCAGTTGAAATGGTTACAGAGTTATATTTTTGATGATAGCTTCTTCAAGGCATATTTCTTTTCAGAAGGAATGATAGTTTTTACTTAGAAGTGATGATTGAATTCAATACTGCAGTACCAAGGATGTGCTAGGCAGCACAATGTAGACAAAAATTAGTTTTGTTGTAAAATAAATGAATTATGCAGTATGTTATTTTGCCTTATCTCACATAGTCCCCTTTTACTTTTCAGATAAATGTAAATGAAATTACAAGATTTTCAGATTTCCCCTTGTCCAAGAAAACACTGAAAGGTAGGTTCATGGTGATCTTGGGACATATTGTTGGATTTCTTGATGCTTTTTTTAAATGGAAAAATGTTTAGAGAAAGTTTAACCTGAAAAAAGTCTTATTTTGTTGGACTTAATGAAATTTAAAAGCTTTTGCACAGCAAAGGAAACTATAAACAAGACGAAAAGACAACCCTCAGAATGGGAGAAAATATTTGAAAATGAATCAACGGACAAAGGATTAATCTCCAAAATATATAAACAGCTCAGGCAGCTCAATATTAAAACAACAAACAACCCAGTCAAAAAATGGGCAGAAAACCTAAATAGACATTTCTCCAAAGAAGACATACAGATGGCCAAGGGGCACATGAAAAGCTGCTCAACATCACTAATTATTAGAGAAGTGCAAATCAAAACTACAGTGAGGTATCACTTCACACCGGTTAGAATGGGCATCATCAGAAAATCTACAAACAACAAATGTGAGAGGGTGTGGAGAAAAGGGAACCCTCTGTCACTGTTGGTGGGAATGTAAATTGATACAGCCACTATAGAGAACAGTATGGAGGTTCTCTAAAAAACTAAAAATGGAATTACCATATGACCCAGCAGTACCACTACTGGGCACATACCCAGAGATAACCATAATTCAAAAAGACACATGCAGGGGCTCCCCTGGTGGCACAGTGGTTGAGAGTCTGCCTGCCGATGCAGGGGACACAGGTTCGTGCCCCGGTCCAGGAAGATCCCACATGCCGTGGAGCGGCTAGGCCCATGAGCCATGGCCACTGAGCCTGCGTGTCCGGAGCCTGTGCTCTGCAACGGGAGAGGCCACAACAGTGAGAGGCCCACTTACCGCAAAAAAAAAAAAAAAAAAAAAAAGACACATGCACCCCAGTGTTCATTGCAGCACTATTTACAATAGCCAGGTCACGGAAACAACCTGAATGCCCATTGACAGACGAACGGATAAAGATGTGGTTCATATATACAATGGTATATTACTCAGCCATCAAAAGTAAAGAAAGTGGGTCATTGGTAGAGACGTGGATGGACCTAGAGACTGTCATACAGAGTGAAGTAAGTCAGAAAGAGAAAAACAAATATCATATATTAACACATATATGTGGAACCTAGAAGAATGGTACAGACGAACCAGTTTGCAAGGCAGAAATAGAGACACAGATGTAGAGAACAAACGTATGGACACCAAGCGGGGGAAAGCGGGGGGTGGTGGTGGTGGTAGTGGTGGGATGAATTGGGAGATTGGGATTGACATATATACACTAATATGTATCGCATAGATAACTAATAAGAACATGCAGGCTTCTCTGGTGGTGCAGTGGTTGAGGGTCCGCCTGCGGATGCAGGGGACACAGGTTCGTGTCCTGGTCCAGGAGGATCCCACGTGCCATGGAGTGGCTGGGCCCGTGAACCATGGCCGCTGAGCCTGCGCGTCCGGAGCCTGTGCTCCGCAACGGGAGAGGCTACAACAATGAGAGGCCCGTGTACTGCAAAACAAAAATTAAAACAAAAAAACCATGCTATATAAAAAAATAAAATAAAATTTAAAAAAAATCTTATTTTGATATCATGAAAACCTATAACAAGAAACAATATTAATTTATTTAAGTTTTACCAATTTGTCATTCTCATTCTTTCTGGACTGGTTAAAAAACAGTAGTAAAAAACGAAGGTGCCAGGGCCTCTGAATAATTAAAATGTTTAAAATAAGCAAGAGAATAAACAAAAATGTGTCACCTTTTGTATTGATTTGCTAGTGCCACCAGAACAAAATAACACAGACTAGGTGGCTTAAACAACAGAAATTTATTTTCTCATTGTTCTGGAGGTCAGAAGTCTAAGATCAAGGTGCTGGCAGGGGTGGTTTCCTCTGAGGGCCATGATGGAAGGATATGTTCCAGGCCTCTCTCCTTGGCTTACAGATGGTTGCCCTCTGATGCCTCTCAAAGTAGTTGTCCCTCTGTGTACTCACTCCCTAGTGGTTTTTGTGTCCAAATTTTGCCTTCTTATAAAGACATCAGTCAGATTGGATTTGGGCCCACCCTAATGGACTCATTTTAACTTAATCACCTCTTTAATCACCTGTGTCTGAATACAGTCACATTCTAAGTACTGGGGGTTAGGGGTTCAACATGTGAATTCTGCGATTGAGGGGGTGCCCAATTCAGCCCATAGTACTGCTCTACAGGGATGCTCTAAAGTGTCATTTTCTTCCTGTCCATACTGGCAGGTTTGCAAGAAGCGCAGTACCGTTTGGTAACTGAGATACAGAAGCAGACCATTGGGTTGGCATTGCGAGGTAAAGATGTCCTTGGAGCTGCCAAAACTGGATCTGGCAAGACTTTGGCTTTCCTTGTTCCAGTAAGTAGTTTTTTCATGTTGGGTCAGATCCTTTGTTATATGATTTTAAAACATTCTGTACCTAGATAGAAATAACTATGTGAAGAGTTGTTTCATGTTGGGTTTCCCTGGCTAGAATGCAAGCTTTATCAGACTGGTGCCACATCTGTCTTGTTCTCTACTGTATCCCCCATGTCCTAGCACAGCACCTTGCACATGATGGGCACTCAATAACTTATTGAATGAATGAATTATCGTGTGCCGACAAGCCTGAATTCCTGAAGGATGTGGGGGTGGCAGGTTCCAGGGTGGCAGGTCAGAATGGTTCTTCTCTGCAATGAGCCCCGGTGGCATGGCAGGGAAGGCTGTTTCTGTACTCACCCTTGCAAACCTGCCAATCGCATTTATACTTGCCACCTGTTTAGGATAAAGCTAAAATTGCTCACTTTAAGGAAATTGGGTCATTCATTGAGAATTTTCCAGGACATTGATATCTATCTTTTATAGCAGTAGAACAATAGAGCCTCTTAGGAGTTCACTTATATCTGTTATGCAGTTGGTCTCGTAATTTTTAATTCCTGCTAAATAATCAGCTCAGAAAAATCACATTTGATTTTTTGTTCCAAGTGTTAAAAAATTTTTTCTCTTAAATTCTATTTTTTATAACAACATCTTTCTACAACTAGAAAATTCAGTCACTGTATAACTACGGCAGTTACACAGAGTTTATTTTAATGTGTTTCTGTTCAGAAAATGGTGACACATATTTTTCTGAAATCTGTTTTAATGAACTGTGGGCTATACAGACCTTTCACTGATTGCCATCTCCTCATGGCATGTCTCTGGTAGCAGCTGCACTGCCATGGGGCTTCTTTTCCTCTATGATTGGGGGAGGATGCTTCTGGTGGATAGAAGAAAAAGAAAAAACAAAGCAAACAGTTTCTTCTTTCTGATTAAGACTCATGACAGGTATACTTTCTGCTTGGAAGGTGCCTTTGATTTGGGGGGGCAAGGTTGACTCAGGAGTCAAAAAGTTGCCTCTCTAAAGGACTTATTGAACATGAATTTGTTCTTTTTTGAGGTGCTGGAAGGCTTGTATCGTCTGCAGTGGACCTCAGCAGATGGGCTGGGGGCTCTGATTATATCACCTACAAGAGAACTGGCCTATCAGACCTTTGAGGTTCTCCGAAAAGTAGGGAAGAATCATGACTTTTCAGCGGGCCTCATCATTGGCGGAAAGGTTTGTCTTTTTGTCCTTGTCCTTCTTTCTTTCCTTCTATAACTTATTTATGTTGGAGCACTGTGGCAGTTGACCGGGAAGAGGTAGAGATATCATCTAAACAGAGGCTGACCCCTTAGACAGGAGGTGGCAGCATCCTGGTGTGGTCACTATCATCCAGAATATGTTTGTCAGTTTTGCAGGTCCAGAAAGTCTGTTTTGTCAGGGTATCTGGATTGATCAGATTCTCTGAGACTAATTAATTCTAATTAGCCTGTAAATCTATTTGTTAATATTCATTGGAAAAGGTACATTTCAGTATGTAGACTAGTTCCTTTCAATAAAGTATCTAGGAGGTTGAATAATTCAGAACATTGCTGGGTCAGCAGCAGAAGAAAGGAAGGTAGAAGGTAGTTTTGAGGAGTGTTTATTTTAGGTTATAGTAAAGCCTGCTGCTCCACTTCTCTTTCTTCTGGTTTACCTGGACTACTTGTCTCGGCTAGAGTCTCTTCTAGATTGTGAGGAATTCTTGAATTTATATGCAAACATGCACAAAAAAGGAAGAGTATAACAAGCCCTCACATACTCATGTACCTATCACCCAGCTCTTGTTTCGAGGAGAGATATTCTAGAATGTGGAGAAGTCAGCTCTTGTTTTCAGTCCATGAAGTGCAGTGAGTGGTGTCAGAGAGCCTGTTCAGTGCCCCTGGGTTCTGACTTAAAAGAATGGGTATAATTCTAGTTTTTAAGTGGGTTCTGGCAGACACAGGAGGAAATAGAGACTTGGAGCAGTCATATATTTTTCTTGGCTTCAAGATCCCAGATATGATTAAGAATCTAGAGGAGCTCTGAACTCCTTAGGTCTTCACTAAGGACTTTTTTTTAGCCCAGAAATTTGGATGTGCTATAAAAATAGAAGGGAGAAATTACATTTACTTCTAGAGTATTTACATTGCTATGATGAAATGCCACATGCAGATGGCTTGTATAGTTTTGGTACACAGGCTGCTCAGTGATGGGTCTGTGTAATCAAAAGAAACAACTGTTCTCAGGATCTGAAACACGAAGCTGAGAGGATCAATAACATAAATATACTTGTTTGCACACCGGGTCGGCTTCTTCAACACATGGATGAAACGATATGTTTTCATGCTACCAATCTCCAGATGTTAGGTGAGTCTAATATATCTCTAATGAAAAAAATCTCAGGCTTAGGAGTGAGCGCTCATAAATTTTAATGATAGAAATATTTTATTGAATAAATATTGTGACTAAAAATCTGAGAAATAACTTAAAGCAATTTTTTGGCATATGGTTCTAAATCCAGAGAGTACAACTCAGACTTTTGTTTTTTAATATCTTTATTGGAGTATAATTGCTTTATAATGTTGTGTTAGTTTCTGCTGTATAACAAAGTGAATCAGCTACATGTATACATATATCCCCATATCCCCTCTCTCTTGAGCCTCCCTCCCACCCTCCCTATCCCACCCCTCTAGGTCGTCACAAAGCATCAAGCTGATCTCCCTGTGCTATGCAGCAGTTTCCCACTAGGCATCCATTTTACATTTGGTAGTGTACATATTTTCAATGCTACTCTCTCACTTCGTCCCAGTTTCCCCTTCCCCTGCCCTGTGTCCTCAAGTTCGTTCTCTACATTTCCACCTTTATTCTTGCCCTGCCACTAGGTTCATCAGTACTGTTTTTTAAGATTCCGTATGTGTGTGTTAGCATACGGTATTTGTTTTTCTTTTTCTGACTTACTTCACTCTGTATGACAGACTCTAAGTCCATCTACCTCATTACAAATAACTCAATTTCATTCCTTTTTATGGATGAGTAATATTCCATTGTATATATGTGCCACATCTTCTTTATCCATTCATTTGTTGATGGACATTTAGGTTGCTTCCATGTCCTGGCTATTGTCAGTAGTGCTGCAGTGAACATTGTGGTACGTGTAACTTTTTTTTTTTTTAACATTATTGGAGTATAATTGCTTTACAGTGGTGTGTTAGTTTCTGCTTCATGTAACTTTTTGAATTACTGTTTTCACTGAGACCATTTTTAAATCAAAATAGAAAGAGATAAGCCCTCTTTTCTGTATGAAATTAGACACCTCAGTATTTGACACTGCTAAGAGTTATCTTTTAAGGTACATCTACTTATGATGTTACCTAATGTGTATTTTTTAAAATCAACTTCGAAATAATTCTAGATTTATAGAAAAGTTGCAGTGATAGTTCAGAACGTTCCTCTATATCCTTCCGTCCCTCATTTCCCCCCAGTGTAACATCTTATATAACTTTGGTACCTTTGCCAAAACTAAGTGATTAACATTGGCATATTTATTTAATATACAGACTTTTTTTCGATTTTACCAGTTTTTCCACGAATTTCCTTTTTCTGTTCTAGAATCCAGTGCAGAATACCATATTGCATTTAGCCTAACGTGTATCTTAAATATTGTTGTTCAGCTTGCATCTCTCTTTTTAGTTCTTGATGAAGCAGATAGAATCTTGGATATGGGCTTTGCTGATACCATGAATGCTATTATTGAAAACCTTCCCAAGAAACGTCAGACTTTGCTTTTCTCAGCTACACAAACCAAATCTGTAAAGGACCTTGCACGCTTGAGTTTGAAAAACCCTGAGTATGTTTGGGTTCATGAAAAAGCAAAATACAGGTATGTACTATTTGAAACCATATTTGATTCAATCACAATCAGTGTTCTCTCTTTTTAGATTAAGAATTTGACCTTTCAAATTAATACTACTTTTCTAGGAAAGAAAACATTATTTTATATTGTTGATTAAATATGCAAAGCATAGAAAGTATATTGGTAAAAATTATTTAAATTCTCTATGCACCTTTAAATGTGTGACTACTCTAATGCACTATTTTCCAAAATGTGGTGTGGGGAACAAATTCCCCCATAAAATAGGGGTGAGGTGAGGAAATGCATACCTAGATAGATAAATAGTAAATGTTGAGTTAAGGTAAAGCAGTGTTCTTCAAGACTTCTCAGAACCTTTAATATTTTCTTGGACATTGTGATTCTTCAAAGCAGTGGGAGATGAATAAAGCTTTCTGCATTTACTGAAATTATGTTGGTACAGAATCATTCTTTTTAGCTGTATTATGTGGGACTAATATGCTATGGAACACATTTTATCAACTGCATTAATATTTAGCAAAATACCTTTCTATTTAAAACATTGCAGCAAGGTTTTGTGTTGGTCTCACTAAAACTGGAAAGTAAGGTATGTGTGTCTATGTGACAGTAAAAGGTGTGTGCGTGTGTGTGTGTGTGTGTGTGTGTGTGTGTGTGTGTGTGTTAGAGAGAGAGAGAGAGGTGTAAATGGGTTGGGGGAAATATGTTTTAAAGTGTATTTTGATATTATGACTGCTAGAAGTGTATATATGTTTGGTATGAATCATACGCACATACATGCAGACTGTGGACATACTTGACTTCCAGAAATGTTTTCCAGTGAATTTAAATTGAATCTGTATTGAAGATCTCAATATGGACTCAACTCTACCATCATCTCTATCTTAACTTTCATTTCTTGCTGTGAAATGTTAGTCTAAAAAGAAATATATTGGGAAAACAAATTGGGTTTCTTGGAAAGTCTTTAAATACAGGGGATATGGGCATTGAGGCCCACCTTGACCTTGTTCAACCAATAGATGTCTAGGATTAAAAAAAGCCTGAGAAGAGGCTAGATTCTATGCTTCCAGGTGATCCTAGTGGATAAACTTTGGAGAATCTGAGTTCTGGTAGCTTTGGTTATCAAGAACTCCTTAGGAATGGGATAGCAAGAGATATTTGAGGTACAGTTTCCTCCTTGGCTTACCATTGAGTAGACACTAGTTTTTGTTTGTAAGTTTGTGTCGAGACAGCTCTTGAAATTCTTGGTACAATTAATTTGATAATCTAAAGACTGTCTAGGTCTTTCAATTTTATTCATTGTTCTCTTTGCTCTTTCCTTTCTGCCTGTTTTTATCTTTACCTGACACTAATTTTTCAATCATTAGGTGGTCTCTACAGTGTAAATTAATTGTACATATTATCCCTGTTCCCAGTTTCTGTAGATAATAGTTGGTCATTATCTGTAGATCATGGAGTTAGTTAGAAAAAAATGAATGCAAAAACTGTTTATTTCATAAATGATTCTAGAAAGCAGTTCCATCATTTGTAAAAAAATGTGACTATCAGAAAACATATTGGAAGACAGGTATTTAGCAACATAATTTACAAAACTGGAGGTTATATGATAATGACTGCAGTACTCTGTAATTTCAAATTCAACAGAAGCACTATAAAAAGCAGATGCTATTGTGAATTTTATTTAATATCATTATTGAATTTTCCCCTTTAGCAACTTAACGGTTTGGTTAATATATCCTGAGAGATTATGGTCAAGAATATTTTAAGGCGTAAAAGAATATTTACTCTCAAATTACAAAGGACCAGAAAAATCAGGATTGAATCTTTCTGAGTTGTATATCAGAGTATACGTAGAAGAAGTACACCAGTGTGTTTCCTTTATATTGCTATATGTTGCTCTTTTTTTTCCTCTTTATACAAACAGATACACCCACAGGGTTGCCTGTGTGTGCATGAATGTATATATACCTTCACTCTGATAAATGATACCAAATTTTATGTACTATTCTTCTTTGCTTCTTTCACTTAACAATATGCCCTAGAGATCATACCATGGCACTATATATATTCCTCATTCCTTTTTTTGCAGTTGCATGATACATTATTGTGTACAATAGTTCATTACACAAATTTTCTACTACATATGGGTTAATTTCCATCTTTTTTTCTTTGTAAATAATACTGTATCTTTTTGTGTTTTTACCAGATTATTTTTTGGAACAGAATCCTTAAAGTAGTTTTATTAGTTCAAAGAGTAAATGCATGTATGTTTCTCGCCAACATCTTTATTATGAGAAATTTCAAACACGCAGCACAATTGAAAGAATTTTGCAGTGAAAACCCTATACCCATCCCTCTGTATATCAACCCATCTTATTTTTGATGCATTTCAAAGTAATTTTCAGATATCTGTACACTTCCCCTAAATATTTCAGTACACATATCACTAACTAGAGTTCAGTATTTGTATAGAGATTTTCTTTTTTGATGTAAGATTTACATACAGTGCGAACAAACGAACAAATTAAGAGTACATTTACTGAGTTTTGATAAATGTGTATGTCTCTGTAACCCAAGGCCCTGCTAAGAAGTAGAACAGTACCATCTGCCCAGCAAGTTCCATCATGCCCTTAAGTTGATCCTTGACCCTACTTTTGCAGAGGTGACCCCTGTTTGCATGTATATTTTTGGTACATAATCTATAAGGGATTTTGTATGTATTTTGGTCATGTGTTGTATTCATTTCCTAAGGGACAGTAGAGAGGTTGTTTTTGGGGGTATGTATGTATGTGTGTGTCTGAAAAATTTGCTTGAGAGGCATGCCACTGTTAACATTTGTTTTTTGGTCTGGATTTCAAAATTACCAACATGGCATATTTTTAACATTTTCCCTCTTATTTCCATAAGCACCCCTGCCACTTTGGAACAGAACTACATAGTCTGTGAGCTGCAGCAAAAAATAAGTGTGCTGTATTCCTTTTTGAGAAGCCACCTGAAGAAGAAAAGTATTGTATTTTTCTCCAGTTGTAAAGAGGTACCTAGTGTTTATTTTTCTTAAGTTATTCGTGTTGAATTGTCCCTTTAAAAATATCAAATTTCTGTTTGAAAATGCTATTTGTCTATTTTAATAAATACAGTGCTAAATGTGGAGGGATTTGTAGATAATGAAAATCTTGGCGTCTTCATTTTTAAAGGAACCCATGGATGAGACTGTAAGCTCAATAAGGAAGGGCAGAAACTGTCCGTTTTTACTTCAGTATTGTTAACACCTAGCACAATACTTAGAACATAGTAGTCCTCAATAAATATTGGTAGAACCAACAATTGAATGGCTAGACTAACTAGAGGTCTTTATAACCTCATGTCTACCTTACCCTCCGTGAATACCGAACTGAATATGCCATTTATTTCCATGCCTCTGTATCTTTGTTCATGCTGATCTCCCTGCATCCCTCCATCCTAATTCTGGAGGAATATTTAATATCCTTTAAGATTAAGCTCAACTGTTGTAACTGAAAGTCCTTTTCTGACACTCCCCAACCCCCTTGTGACAATGAACTGCACCTTCCTCTATCATTCTGTAGTGTTTTGTTTATATCTTTATTTAGTTTATCAGCATTTCTTAAACACTAGTCATATGCTTATAAGTAACGGATTTAGTGATGTATAAGAAAACGTGGTCTTTTCCCTTAAAGAGAAGAAACTGTGGTTGATTTTGTGTGTCACTTTTCTTCTACTGTATTTCAGATTTCCTGATGACATATAGTTGTTGGTATATAGTAGGTTGATTCTAGATTTATAGCTTTTGCAATAGCTTAGCATGACAAATATGCAGTGAGTTTTCCTCCAGCTTATGCGGAAGATAAGTAGTGGTCTGTTTTTGGGGGAAAGCACAGAACCTCATTATTTTTCCATGTAAAGAATGACTTCAGATTTTTTAGGACTTCTTTTAGATTTTTAGAATTTTATATCTTCTAAAGAAAGGATGTTTTTCGTATCTGTGTACAAGGAAATAATTTTAAGAGTTAATGTTTATAAAGTTTTTACTCCGTAATACTCTGCTTTTCCTCTTCACAGTGGGCAGAGTATACTCTGCCCTTTCTCGAGCTATACTCTTTCTATACCTCTTTAATTCCATGGCTTTAAATGCCATCTGTATTCTAACAACTGCTAAATCTACATCCTAAGCCCTGACTTCTTTTCTGAGCCCCAAACTTGTTTATCCACTTGACTACTAGATATTTCCAGTTGGGTGTCTAGAGGGCATCTTAAATTTAACATAGGAAAAGCAGTTTTAAGATTTCCTATCCCTAAGTTCTGCTCCCTCTAACTCTTCCCCATCTCATTAAATGACGGAATCCTTAATTCTTGCTTGTCTTCAACTCATATTCAATCTGTTGACAGTTCTCATTAGTTTTACCACTTCTCACCACCCATCATGTTACAGTGCAGTTTAAACTGTGCTTAACTTTCTCTTAGCCTCTTGGTTGATCTTCCATTTTAATAGTTCTTCAATTTCCATATATGCTTTTCTGAGATTGGGTTGCCTGAGAGTACATCTGTGGTCTGGTCTGTGGGCTCTTCTTTCTCATCTCCGCTTTCATGTTAGCCCTTTTAAAAACGTTACAAAGGAAAGGCAGGAGTCCCTCTATCCCTAGTCTTACTGGTGCATTGTCTCAGGATCAGAGAACCTTCCTAGCACTAGAATATTGTTTGAGAAAGTGAATAACTTTAATTTTGGAGTAACAAGTCATTTTGCAATTTAGGTGGTTTCCCATTCTTTACTTTCAACAAAATCCAAAGGAAGACTTAATGGAGTTATTAGCTGATAGATAAAATTATTTGTAATTTATCATCATGTTTCTGACATATTTTATAGGAGTTCAGAAAGTTAAGGTCCCTTCCAGTCCATTTTCTATATTTTCATGAAGAGATTTTCTTAACACCTGTGTTAGAGAAATAGGAATAAAATGATGCTGTACTCTGCCTCAGTATAGCAACCAGTGGTATTCATTTATAAGTACGTAAACTAAAGAAAAATAAAACTAAAGCAACAGCTCTATCTTGTCTCATGTATTAAGAGAGATATTTATAATAGAATTTTATTTTTTATGTTTAACAGTTTTTTAAATCAATTTTTAACATTTTTTTGTTTCGGCCAGTTCTATACTAATAATTATAATAGTACCTGAGTCTGAGAACTTTTAATGCAGCTTTACGGCTACAGGAAATTAAAGTTAAAACTTACATATACATAGTTTTGTTGTAGAAAATCACAAATTGTGATAAAGTGATCAATAAGAGACTTGCGAGCATAAAACAAGATAAAATTCTGTGAGGTCAGGAAATAGAAATATGAATTCAAGGAAGAAAAGAAATGATGTAAAATTTTTCTGTTAAGGAAGAGGTTCCTCACATTTTGTTAGTAATCTTCCTTTTTTAAAGACTTTGTTTTAGAGCAGTCTTAGGTTCGCAGCAAAATTGAGGGGTCCTGCCCCACACATGCGTAGGCTTCCCCATTATTTTTATATATTTTTAAATAACTGGTAGTGGATATCATATTGCTCTGCTATTTAGAATCAATTGGATACATTTATAAGAGGTAAGTCTTTATTTTAAAATATATTTAAATATACCAGAAATTACATTCTTTGCAACCACTTAAATTTGGAAGAATGTCAGATACTAGCTTAAAAGTGTAAGGAGGGCATATTTTTTTCAAAATTCTTTTAGGAAATAATGTGAGCAAAAATGTTCAAAGACCACAGCTTTGTTTGAAGACCACAGCTCTAGACTACATTTCCCTTTCTGTGCTCTGTACTTTAATTGATGAACCTGTGCTCTGTAATGCATTTTTCTGTTCATCTTGCAAGCTTACTTCCTGCTGCTACCCAGAAGTACTACCAAAATCATTTTTCTGTAAATGCCTAGGTTCAGTATCTGTACCGAGTATTCTGCCGGCTACGTCCTGGCATTTCTATCCTTGCCCTGCATGGTCGACAGCAGCAGATGAGAAGAATGGAAGTCTATGACGAATTTGTTGGCAAGAGAGCTGCAGTACTCTTTGCTACTGATCTTGCAGCCAGGGGGCTGGGTAAGAAAACTTCTTTTGAGAAAATGTTCTGTGATCATGGGCTTATAAATGGGTGTATTCTGGTAATTCAAATAGTTTGACTCAAATAATTGGGCTTTCTTATTTTATAAAAGAAAATTAAGTAAATTGATAACTGGGATGACTAACACTAAGGATATGTCAGTGAAAATTTTTGTAATGTCTTCATCTTTTGTGCTCTTATTGTTTCATGATAATAATTACATCATAGAATCCGAGGAGTCTACAGGATCAAAGGAGAATTAAAAATTTAAAGATGTGAAAAAAAATTGGAAACTGACAAATACTATAATTTACTTAACAAGAAAAATCAGTGAAGTACATCTTTGCTCCAACCATTCTAATTTTTATTTTAAAATCATTACATTTAATGTGTTTAAACTTTCAAAAAGCCATTATAATATCATACAACTGATGGCTTTGTGGGGATGGGATGGGGTATGGAAGTAATTACAGAGGATAACTAGTTTAGAGGCAAGAACAAAAGATAAGGATAAATAAGTGGTAATTTGAATTCTTCAAACACCTAATTTTATTACATTAATTATTATGGTAAATTTTAAACATACACAGAGATTGAGTCTAAAGTACCCTCATATACATATTACCCAGTTTGAGCAGTTATCTTTCTCATGACCACCCACTTAGCTCCCCATCTTCCATCCCTCTGGGAGTATTTTAAAGCATATCTCAGTCATCATAAAGTTCATTCCCATGTGACTGGCAGCAGTAGTTAAGTATGCATATTTTTAAAGCTCTCTAGGTTATTTTCTCAGCTCCACAGTAACTCATTCCAACTACCCTCCCCCACCCCCTGCTCCTCATCACTGTTTTGAATGTACTGTTTTGAAACATTTTAGTTATGTTTGTATCTACTTATATTACACTCTGATTCCACCCTTCCCCTCCCGATTTTTGAACCTAAAATAGTTTAGGTCAAAATAAGCAATTAATTATATTGCATATATAACATGTATTCTGTATATTGATATATCACAGTGAACAGATATTACTGTTTTGTCATATTTTCCTTGCAGTTTGTTAAAGAAACCAAATATTTAGTAGATGTAGTTGAAATCCTTTTTGTACCCTTTCCCAGTCTCACTATTTTCCCTCTCCTCCTTTCCATAGACATGTTTACTGTCATATAGTTGGTCGGTAACCTTTTAATTGAAGGCTCTTCACTTCTTGTCTATGATAGAATTCAGGGTGTCTGTGAACTTAGATGGGGAAAAAATTACATATATTCACTAACCTTTAACTGAGATTTAGCATTTCCTTCAATTATAAATGTAAGCAGTGAACTGTTGTGGTAGTACTTGTAACTTTGTCATCAATTGAAAATCATAGATATTTTCATTTTACATTACAGTTTCTGTAGATATCTTGGAATATTATTTACACTTAGTACTATTTTGATATTATGGTAGTTATTAGATATACAGCTAGGTTGTGTTATTTAATATGTTAGTAAATAAGCATATACATTGCTATATAAAAAAGTCAATAAAAATGTTTATTTCATTATAATTGCTTTCTCTTATAATCCTATATGTTTTACTTTATGCATTTAAAAAATATTCTGAAAAGGGGTTCATAGGTTTTAACTGTGGCACAAAAAATGTCAAGAATCTCTCCTAGTTTATTTTAAAAAGCTTATATGAATGTATTCATGAGCAATATATAGTATTATCTTATGTGTTTATGAAGTGTATAAAATAATATTATACATACCAGTCTATGACTTGCTTTCCAAGGCTTTCCATGTCAGTGTATAAAGTTCCAGTGTATTTATGTAGTATATCTCATAGTATGTCCAGGAGTTTCTTTAGAGTACACCAGTATCTTTTTTAAACTTTATTCTTAATTTTTCTCAGTTTTATTTCTTAATGAATAATATGCGATATGGGTAAAAATGAGTTATGAGACATAGCAAGCCGTACTCTACCCCTCCTCACTCTCCAGAAGCCATTATTTCTCTTGGTATTTAGCTTCATATTTCTAAGTACATTTCTTATATCAAGTTAATGATTGAGTTAAAATTAGTTTTGTGTTTCCTGTTCTAACTTTCCTCAGATGTTCCAGCAGATGTCACATTCCTAGTTTCCTAATAGTTCAAACACAGTCTGTTTCTTTTTCCCTTGGGATCTCCTTGTTGCAGCCTTTTAAAAGTCTTCAGCTCTTATCTGGACTGGTTGCTCCATAAGCCTGATGCATGTTTGTCATCGTGAGACTTTTCATTTGGGTCTTCATTGCTGTACATGGTCTTTCTCTAGTTGTGGCAAATGGGGGCTACTTTTCGTTGCAGTGCACGAGCTTCTCACTGTGGTGGCATCTGCAGAGCACAGGCTCTAGGCGCACAGGCTTCAGTAGTTGTGGCTCGCGGGCTTAGTTGCTCTGCAGCCTGTGGGATCTTCCCAGACCAGGGATTGAACCTTTGTCCCCTACATTGGCAGGCGGATTCTTAACCACTGCGCCACCAGGGAAGTCCCCTTCCTCTTTCTTGATTTATTATTATTATTGTTTTTTAAACTAAAGCTCATTCTTTAATAGCTTCCGAAGTAAGAGTGCATGGGAGGTACATTTTTTGAATTGTTGCATATCTGATAATGTCCTATTCTTGAATGATAGTTGTATTGAGAATAGAAATCTAGGTTGAAATAATTGTCTCTTAGAATTTTGCAGATAGTGCTCCATTGTCTTACGGTAGTCAGTATTATGTTGAAAAGACCTTTGCCTTTCTGATTCTGTTTTTTGTAGCCCCCTTTTCTTTTTCTGGCTGTTCTTAGTGTTTTCTGTTTATCTATGGAGTCCTGAAATTTTATGATAATGTGCCTTAGTGTGAGGTCCCATTTGTTGTATAGGTGCATTCAGTATATTTTTTCAATCTAGACCAGCAGTGTTCAATAGAATTTTCTTTGATCACTGAAATGTTCTGTGTCTGCACTGTCTAATACTATAGCTGCTAGCTACACGTGACAATTGACCACTTAAAATGTGTCCAGTGCAATGAGGAAAGATTGAGTTATTAATTCTATTAAATTTTAAACTTGAATACCTTCTGTATTGAGCAGCACACAATAGGGACTCATGTGTTTCAGTTGCAGGAAATATACTTCTGAATTGCTTCTTTGGTGATTTGATTAAATAAATATTCAGTATTTGTTTTGAGTATGTAATTACTGCTTACTAATGGGAAATTTGTGTACTTAGCTTGTTTCCTTTCTCACACCTTTTTTATAACATTTTCCCATTCCCCCCTTATTTTCTCTTTCTGGAAGAGTATTTGACCTCTTTGATCAATCCTCTAGTTTTCCTGTTTCTTCTGTTGCCATTTCATTGTCTTTTTCTTGTTATTTCTGGGGGATTTCTTGATTTTATATTTCAACTTTTCTGATTAAAATTTTAATGAAGTACCAAGAGTTCCTTTTTTATAGCCTCTTACTCTTATTTGATGGATGCAGTGTTTTAGCTCTCTGACGATATTAGGTTAAAGTTCTCTTCACATTGTTTCTGTTTCTGTTGAGTTTCATTTTTACTCTTTTATCTGTCTTTTCATTTTTGAGACTTTTCTTGATTGTCTGCAATTGACAGGCTTTTATTATATGTAACAGTGAGGCATCAAGAAGCTTATTTGAAGTGATTTGTATGTGGATGAGGCTTGTTGACTAACGGCCTTCATTGCGAGGGGATTTAGACGGAGTTGGTCATCTTGTGGAGGACGAGGATGTCAAAGTGTATTCTTTTTGAACATTCAGTCTCTCCAGATAAGAATACTTCAACCTCTTGAGCAGAAGGATTAAGCTTGCCGCTGGCTCTCTAGAAGCCTAGCAAGGAAGTAGACATAGAGGGCTCCCAGTCAGCATTCAGACTTACACTCAGTACCCCTGTTTTCACTCTGGCTCTGGTGCCTCTTTTTTCCACTCTCTCTGGTGTCTTGGCTTGAAGCCTTTCGCAAGAATAAGACTTTCTCTTTTCTTCAGGAGACCCAGTGTATAGGATCCTGGAGGGAACCTGAGGATCTGAGTGCTACTTTCAACCTATCTTCCTTTTTACAACCCTGAAATATATCCTTGCCTTCTGAGGTACCTGGTTACTTCAAGTCCCAAGGGAGAGAATTGTTCTAAATATATTTTTTCTGTTTTTCTTGGGTTATGCCCATTTAAATAGATTCAACCCTTTTGAATAGCTTGTATAACTTGGTTGTAGTTTTTATGCTCATAGGTATCCATAGGTATCATTATCTTCCCAAATATTTCTCTTTTTCTTTTTCCTTCCTTCCCTCCCTCCCTTAGCTTTTTTCTCTGTGATAGACATTGATCTGAAATCCTTATGGCAAAATCCATAAATGACTAAAGGTAATTCTCTTAAGTTGTTGAGACCAGGATCTCTGGGAATGAATGGAAACTTTTGCAGCCAGAAATAAATATGAAGTAATTATTGCTAGGAAATGGGGAGAGGGATTTAAAAAGACATCATTAATTTGAATGGAGATGGAAATAGCAGGAAAAGTAAATTTTCATTAAAATTTATCAACCAGTTTCATAGTTCACTGGGAGCTCATAAGAAGTGGTTCTTTTAGGTTATTAACTATCAGGATATTTCGTTATTTGTGTGACACAAAGCAGTCTGTCTCCTCTGTCAGATACAAAATAATCTTCACATTCAAACACTGTCATTAATTTTAGTTCAGTTTGTCAAAGAAGAGAAGTGTTTATTATCTCTTGGTTCATGCAATTAATTTTAATAGTGTCCACAGATGATATCTATCAGTTTGATGTGATGGAAAGCCCTGGCAAGCAATATTATAAAATAAAAATAGTGCAGCAGGAAGATCTTGGAACTGGTTTTTCAACTTGATATTCCTTCTGTACAGATTTCCCAGCTGTGAATTGGGTTCTTCAGTTTGATTGTCCAGAGGATGCCAACACATATATTCACAGAGCAGGTAGAACTGCCAGGTAGGTGTGCCAGCCTATTTCTTTGCTTTTGGTTTTATCTAAGCAAAAAAGTGTGCTTTCTGAACTGTGTACAAACAAAGAATGGAGGAATTCAGGTAAGTGACTGCTGGTTTGACATTTTTGTGACATTGGTTGCTAGCAAGTGGACAGCTCTTGCTAAGTCATTGTGGCCGAGACTTGATGATGAGGGCTGAGAAAAATCCATGAAGATCTTCTTTTAGTGTTTTTGTTCTAACTTTCTTCCCTTACTAAGCTTTTCATTAGAACTGCTCACTGAACATCATCTCTTTGATGAGGTATAAGACTGTTTATTCAATCTCTGTTTTCAGATGACAAAACTTGAGTGTTCTGAGCAGTTAAACATTTTGTGTGAAAATCCATAGAGCCAGGATTTGAACCAAGGCAGTCTGACTCCTGTAATCTAGATCTGTGCTCTTACCTTCTCTGGTATAGGTTCTAATAAGAGACAAGGTGGTTTTGAGTCATAGATTTCTCTTTTCCTTTTTTCTAGTGTGGGAATTAGAGGCATTGCTGGAGGCTACTCCCAAATACTCCCTTTTCACCTCCCCCCACCCCCAGTAAAAGTATCCTGTGTTTGCTCATGAATGTGGGGGAGCTATTTGGAAAAGAATATAGCAAAGTCAGTCATTTGGGAGGAAAGAGCATAGAAAGGTATATGAATGAATGAAAAGGATAACGTGCTATATCATTGCCATTGAGGTTGCAGTGAAGTTGGGAGATGTGTGCTGCAGGTAGAATTATAAATGTTAGCATCTTTATGGGTAATATTTGGTAGTACTTATCAAAAGCCTTAGAGTTCTTCCTTTTGCTTCAGTAATTCCATGTCCAGAAATTGATCTTAATAAAGTTTCTATAAAGGTGTTCATCTTACTGACATTTGTAATGGTAAGAATTGGAAATAACCAATTAAGTGTTAGACCCAAAATCACTAAGTATATGGCAGAAACAGAACTAGAATTCAGATTTTTTGACCCCGGATTTCAATCTTTTTCACTAAGTAACCATTCATGAAAGACCAACCACGTGTGAGGTACTGGATTAGGCCTGGTGTGAGCTTCTGCATGAAAATAAGATATAGTGTCCATTCCATTAAGGATGTTTTAGTACCTTGAAAACGGTCTATAGTAGAGGCATATACAGTATTAGAGGTATTGACAGAAGTTTTATGGAGCTCCTGTGGAAGTAGAGAAGAAAACTTCACAGAGGAGAAACAGTTGGGTTCAGTTTTGATTGGCAGATACAAGTTCTTGGGAGGCAACTTGATACAAGATATTTCTTCCTCTGTTAACTATGTGCTATATAATATATCTTTCTGTATTTTAACTCAGACTCAAATCCCAACTACTCTTGATAATTTTTTTTGAGGGAGGGACTACTAGAAAATACAAGAGTTCTATGTGTCCATATCGTAAAATGTGATCCTTTCCATAAGCATCTCCAAACACTGAGCCCCTAGTCAGTTGTAAAACATTGTTTCCTAAAGTTAAGGAATGGTCTGTGTGCCATGCAGTATTGCAGCCACTTGCAACATGTGGCTATTTAAATTTCAATTAAGTAAAATTAAATTAAAATAAAAATACAGTTTCTCAGTCACACTACTCACATTTAAACTGCTAATACCACATCTTGAACAGAGCAGGTATAGAACATTTCCATCATTGTGAAAAGTTCTTTTGAATACTACTGGTATATGTTTAAAATACATTTTACTTAAAATTGTTGAACCAAAGAACCATAGATTCATATAATAAAACCATAAAATAGAAAATCATAAAGACATTAGAGCTGAAAGTAATCTGGATTCACTCATTCATTTTTTCTATATGGATTTAACAAATACATATTAAGTGCCAGGCATTGTACATAGTAGGAGGTAAAACGAGCAAAACAGACATGATTCCTGACCTCGTTCATCTTGAAACCTGGAGGGAATACAGACAATAAAATGCATAATTTCAGTAGAATGTGATTGATTATTTACTCCTATCTCTAATTTTGTTGCAGTCATGAGAACACATGGCAACTCTCAGGTTTACACATGCAAAGAGAAATAGACATTTTTGTCTCCTGAGAGGTTATAATCTTTCTGAGTCACATAAACCCCCCTACTAACTAAAGGAAAGTTTTATTTCAGAGATTTCTGTAGGTTTTTGAGGTGTGAGCTTATTAACAGGCATTTTTACCTCACATAGATTCAAATATGAGGTTCTTCAAATGTGGGTATATTTTGTTTAAAAAAGAAAACTGGAAACAACCTAAATAATAATCACAATAAGGTTGTGATTGGTTATGATGTACTATCTCTTTGGTTTTACATTTTCTTTCTCATCAAAACTGCATGAGTATTTATAATATGGATGTCAGTGAGACATTAATGCTTAATGATGGAAGAGACACCAACTGTTGGTTTAAATGGACCAAGTTACTTCTGATTATTAAGCCACCAACTTCTATTTAATGAGTTCCCAGGGATGGCAGGATCTTTAAGACCCAAGATTTAAATCCTCATCTAGGGACTTCCTTGGTGGTCCAGTGGTAAAGAATTCACCTTGCAATGCAGGGGGCACGGGTTTGATCCCTGGTCAGGGAAGTAAGATCCCACATGCCGTGGGGCAACTAAGCCTGTGTGCCACAACTGCTGAGCTTGCGTGCTCCTCGACTAGAGAGCCCGCGTGCTGCACACTACAGAGCCCACGCACCCTGGAGCCAGTGCGCCACAACTAGAGAAGAGAAAAAACCCACACTCTGCAACTAGAGAGAAGCCCGCGCACTGCGACAAAGAGTCTGTGCACTGCAATGAAGAGCCCGTGCGGCACATGCCTCAACGAAGATTCCTCATGCCGCAACTAAAAGACCTGATGCAGACAAAAATAAGTAAATAATAAATAAATCTTAAAAAAAAAAGAAGAAATCCTCATCTAAGCAAAGTCTGTCATTCGCCAGCAGGCTTGCTTTTCTACCTGCCCTGCACCCATTTCAGCCAGTGGCCTCAAGTTTGAATGTGTCCTCTATCCTTTGCTTATCTAGGAAGTCCCTTTGGAGTTGAGTCTCATAAATTTCTTTGTATCTACTGTTCTTGGATGGCTTTAAAGGGAAAAAGTTTTTTTGTTTGTATTTGGTCAATTTTGTCGTTGTTTCAGTTGAAGTGGAGGTTTTTCCTGTTCTACAGCCTAACAAGATATAGAGCTCCTTCTTCCTATAATTTTCTAATTTTCATAAACTGTTTTAATGTTTAAACATTTTTCGATTGATTCAGATTTACCCTTTGGGCTGTTAAACGTGGGCTATGATCAAAATGTACTCATTTAAATTAAAAGCATTTCTTTTGACCAGCATGAAGAAGGAAAGGAGAGAATAGTACAATAGTGAAAGATAAAACTATTTAACAGTAGGATTGTACTAGAGGATTCAAAAGTAAGTCTTTTTTATTGTAATTATATAATTTGAGCAAGTAATAGAGTTAGAACTAGGCTCTGTGTATGATTTCATTGTACATTCAGACAGACTTGTCTTTAGACTGGTAACCTTTTGGTTTCTAGTGGGATCTAAGTAAATGGGACATAGGTAGAACAGCAGCTTTGTTTTCCATTTTGTAAGAAGGTACATGGTGCATCAGTGGTCTTTGTGTTGGATACATGTTTGGATTATCTTTCATAGTGAGATATTTAGAGAAGTCATTAGTAGTGGTTGGTGGAATTAATACACTGTTTAATTCTCCTCAGTAAATGTGTAGCATGTATGAATTTGTACATTTATCTCTGCACACATTTGCATTTCATGGCCCTGTGGGCCTCTGGATAGGTGAGGTTGGTGGATATCATCTCTCATTAGTGTATTGGACCAGGCCAGACAGGCTTTTTTAGATGTGCCAATGGTGTGGGCATGGACAGGTTAAACTGATTCCTTTATAGAATACATTTAGCAGTATTTTAAAATTATTCATCCTATATGAAGATTATTTGACATCTCAGTATATCAGGAAAAGTTTCAAGAAGGGGAAATATTTCAGGGTGCTTGGTTCCTGGAGAAGTTGTTAAAAATCTTATGTAGTTGAACATGCCATGGTAAGCATTAAATTGGTTTTAATGACTCAAGGTGAAGAGGAGGTACAACATCACAATGATTGTGTTTGAAGAGAGAATACCAATTTGAAAAACTATTATAATGTAGTTTCTAATATGGTCATTGATTTTTAAAGTACAAGCTTGTTTGACCCTTTGTAACCAATTAAAAATATTTTGAACTATTTTAGATGTATAGTTAGTGGAAAAGTTTAGGATATGTAATGCTTATTTTTTCTTTGTCAGTCTAATAAAAAAAAGAACCAAACTGCAAAAAGTTACCATTAATGGGCTTAGAGATAAATTAGAACTTTTGTGGGCCATCAGACTGGATAATTGAATTGAATAAAAGCTAAATTAAAGCTTGAAACTAATTAAAATCCTGTATATATGCTGTAATTAAAACTAGGTTGCCAGATAGTGTTTGCTTTTGGAAGTGAACTATACTATATGAATATTGAGAAATGAATTCACTGCTTTGTGGCAAAATAGCTAAGGTTTGGGGAATCTGTTTTTTTCCTTTACTGTGTTTTAGCTAAAAATAAAGGGTGGTTTAGGTACTTGTTGCCTTAAGTGCTTTATTCTGTTTTAATTTGTTCACCTGTTTAAAATTCTTTTGATCTTTAGTAATTGAGAGAAATTTGTTTTCTTAACTATCCACACCCCTTTTAACAAAATGATCTCGTTTAGGAAACAAGTGAGGCAAGGAATATGAATATAGTTTTTTTAAAGCCGTGTTCTGTGATACATTCTACCACTTAAAAGCGAATGTCTTTAGGGCTTGTAGTTTTTAGTACTCATAAAACCAAGCTCTTCTATTTCTTATAAAAATGCTCAGTTGAAAATAAAAAGGATTTGGGAATGGAAAGTCCTTACATATCAGATACTCCTAATTTTTAAAATGCTTTTATTTGGGCA